AAATAACATGTGGCTTTGATTAATAGATTTTAAAAATATACATTGATTATGTTTTTCTAGACATTTACACATACATGTAAACCAGTAAAATGTTAACCCTTTCTTCCTCCACATAAACTGAGTGCCATGCTGCCATGTTAGGAGGTCAGATACTAAACATAAAGATGGGTCCAACTGCTGTAAGCGATAGAGTCCTTTTCACCAGCACTTGTAAGATACTTTTACACCACAGTCGCGTAGCTGGAAATCACAGGACAGTTGTAGACAAAAGTCAAGTGCTGAAAGTACCTGTCAGAGCTTACAGAAGCAGCTGGGTTGCATATAAATAAGCCCCGGAGGCATTTCCAAAAGTCGTTCTAAAACTTCCAGTGTGCTACACTGTCAACTTTTATTCACATGAAATGAAAAACACCAGCTAGCAGTGATGGAGATTCAGCTTATCCATCAGCTCCTAGTGCAGTTGGCAGTGGCTGGATGATACAAGGCAGCTCAGCTTGGCCATCACTGGGATGCAGTTGCCTAGCCAAGCAATCACGACCCCCTTCACAGCCTATATTGTGTTTGCCATCAAAACATCCCCAGGAGGCTATTTTTGGATATGGAGGCTTCCTCTAACAATGTAGGAAACCACCAGCTGACACAGCAGATGAAGAGAAAATCTCCCAAGTAATAATCTTGCTATGGGCTGTCAATGTTAACAAAGTCACAGGCAAAAAATCACATCAGTGTGAGGTATACCAAGGAAAGTCTATCTTCAGAAACAGTGGAAGGGATTGCTATCACCGCACAAGGCAGTGGTGAGGCACTGTCTGGAGTACAATCTTCATCCATGCTGAGAGACAGTGGTTCCAGTGAGGAATCAACAGTGAAAAGGTCCACTGGCATCATCAGAAAACCTGGAGCTGATTTTATGAGCAGAGGAGAACTTGGTTCATTCAGTTTTGCAAAATAAAAGTTGAAAGGAAGTAACACTATTCTCTATAAATTCTCCTTTGAGTTCATCAATTAAAGGGGAGAAAATAACAGCCTTCCAAACCTCTGCACAGTCTGCTATGTGGGAAGAACCAGGAGGTAGGCAACACATCTCTGCCTCCTCCAAGCAAAGCATAGCTAGATTAAAAATGAGGAAATAAATGGAAAGTGTTTTCTTGATTGAAAGGAGTTCGCATCAGGCACTGAATTATCACGAGAAATATGGTATATTAAAGAAAAAGGCAATAACACTTGTCTATTTCTATGAGATTTTAACTAATAAATAACTGCTTGTGATAGAAAAAAAGGGGGAAAATATTTTTAGTGTTAGATGCAGAGAAATATATTGCAACATGACAAAAGGGTTGGTTATAAAAATCAGTGGCTTGTTATTTTAAAATGTGTTTACTTTCTGTGTTATTGCATGATCTTAACTATTGCAGAATTGGCAACAGAGATATAGCATAAGCATTGAAATAAACCTTTTTTTACTCATACTGCATTTTAAGTCAAACTATTAAAGTAAACTCCAGTGACCTCTTGGTCCCCACTTAAGCTGGCAGGTTTATCAATACATACGGTCAGGGGCAAAACAGAGCAATTTCTAGGGGAGAACGGATATTGCATTTAAGAGTGCTCTGTATGCTTCACAAGCAAAGCAAACCTTGTCCATAAATGCACTTGTGGGCAGGTTTTTTTGTAAAAACAGCAAAACTGTTACTTCTAAAAGCAATAGAAGAATTTATCATCTCCATAAATTAACTGCTCGGCCCCTTTCATAGCTTTTCCAGTACAAGTTCCCTGGGAGACTGAGGGCAAGCCAAGGTGGATTGGAGGAGAAGAGAGAAACAAGAAAGGAATTATAAACAAAGTTATCCTGTGTTTAAGCCAATTTACTAGATGGAATGAATCTGGCCCCCAGAAAATGGGCTGAAAGAAGAATTTAAGTAACTAAGTCATCATTGTATTTGGCTGACAACCTACAAAAACAGCCATACTTTTATAACTTATCAGTAACTCACACTAGTTGACTCTCCCTTCCTCTCTGCTGAACAAACACTTAAAAAAACCAAGTGTTGGAAAGGGAGACAATATTATCATTTCTGGGCACAGAATAATTGTGGAAGCAGCTGTCCTCCTGACATTATCACAGAAATCAGAGATGGAAAAAATCCTATTAGGTCACAGAGTCCCTCCCTTTGTCATTGCAGGACTGTTCCCTATCACAGATTTTCCAGTGCCTTGTCCAATCTTGTTATAAGACTTTCGAAGTGACAGCTTCCAGCAGCTCCCTTGGGAGACTATTCCTCTGCCTAATAACTACTGCTGTCAAGAATTCCCCCCACTTTAATAGCAATTTGCCCTATTATTTCTGTGTACTCCACATAATATTCAAGATGGTAAAAAGAAATACTGATGTTTTGAAAAAATGCTTCAGGATTCCAGACAGTTCCACAAAGAAAATGTCCTACTACGAAAACCAGCCATGGCTACTTCGTATTTTTTTCCGTCCTCCTGACCAGGAGATATACAAACATATCAACCAGCCTGCTGGTGACAAACACACATCAAGCTCTATACCAATACCAGACAGACGGAAGAGATCAGCCCCAACTCCATCTGTTGCAGACAAACAACAAATGACTTAACCACGTTAGCTATGGATACGCTCTCTGTGTTCTCTCACATTTTTTTGCTCAGGTCATGACTTTTTGTCTGCCTTCCTAATGAAATGAGGTGTGTGTGTTACCTCCTCATCCGGCTGCTCTCCATGGTCAACACTGAAACTCAAAGGCCATTTTAAGTGATCCCTTAAGGCATTCCAAAGACTCATGGAAATCACAGGCTGATCACCACGGAAGTAGGCTCACAATGCATGTCACCTCTTGTAAACAGGCAGTGGGAATGTAAAAAAATACATATCTTGAGATATGTCATGGGAAAACAGAGTGGATGAGAGTAAGTATTTTGGGAGACGTCATGAGGAACAGGACCTTTTGTGACAGCAGAATGCTAGGACATACCATGTGCACTTATATTCAGGGCTTCATTAGATTTGTTGCACACAAAACAAAAAATTGTGTACAATCCTATGAAAAAAAGTTCTAAGTTCTAACAAGTCTCCAGACATTAAATATCATTTTAACTCTTCAAATCCATTGCCTGCTTCATACTAATTTCATCCTATCTTTCCTGTTTCATAGTGACACTATCTGACACTTCTCTGCCTTGTCAAAGTCCTTTCTCCACATCCTTTTTTTATAAAAAAAACCTGTTCCGGAACCTTCTATCAGTATTTTTAACAAAGTTAAATGCCACAGACCAATCAAAGTAGCTCCCAGCCTGAACCAGTACCAAAGTCAGATGAGAATCAGCGTTACAGTGCTGTCATCAGAGCAACACTGGAGAGGGGAGAGGAAAGGGACACACACACACACAAACGAAAAACACCACCCAGAACTACAGTGACATATGTAATCAGTTATGGTAAAATTCCTACCACAGCTTTAAAGAATTAACTTTTCTCAAGTTTGTTACAGTCTATCTACAATAAAAACAAGGAACTCTCCTCCTGGTCAGTACACTCTCACCATGCAGTCAGAAGAAACAACTGCAGCCACACCTGCTCCCAGGTCCCACACATCCAACTCAGTACTGTTACTATGCAGAACTTTTTTTTCCTTTTTATCATCCACAGAGACAGTAAGGACACAGTTCTTAATCACATCACATCACATGCTATTGTTTAACCATACTGTGGGTAAAATATTACCAAATAAAAAGAGTATTTTTTCACAGATATTTCAAGGTAAGAACCAGGACAGAAACACACAATATTGTGAAGCCAAGAGTCAGTAAATAAACTGAAGCTTCTCTTCTGTTCTTCTCCCATCTCAGTATTTATCACTCCTTGTAAACTGCTATGAGTGCACCTCAAATTTGCTGTAGCTTTGACTCTTTTCTCTGCACTCATCTCTCTCTTAATTACCTTCACCTTCAAAGCTCACCCCCTCTTACTACCTTTCATTCAATGTCTTTTGTTTTGCCTCTCCCACTTGAGACAATCATCTGCAAAAAGTGAGAAATCTGTCTTTATACTCTTATTAGAAGTTTGTTTTCTGTCTGTAAAAACTTCTGAAAATGGAAGAGCCTCCCAAACCTAACCCTAACACCATATCATCCCACCTAATATGGATTCTCATCTAGGATGGACACTTGCTCCTCAGTTCCTTCCCAGCTATAATTGTCCACCGCTTGAATAGTTAAGTCTTTGCACAACTCCTAGCAGATCTTTCTCTGGTGGAAGTCCCTTGAGACTTCTCCAGGCTTTCTTAAGTGAGAAAGAGAAAGGAGTGAACTGAGCAACCTGGAGAACCTCTTCCTAACTTTAGTACTGTTAAGATTTCACAAGATACAGGGAAAAGCAGAAAGAAAAAGTGGATAATCAAAGACATTGATAAAATAACAATACACTTAGATTCAAGGATAGATTCTATTCAGATCAAAGCAATATATAGATTTCTGACCCTGGGTCAGTTTTATGGAAATTTCTGCATAATCCATAAATATGCGCCTACGCTAAACAACCTCCTGCTTCTTAGAACAACAAACTAAAGGAAATCCCTGCAACACAGCTCCTTTTTGAGTGCAAAAATACACTTCAAATTATTCATCTTACTTTTCAACAGCTTCATCCTATCTTTGGGGAACATAAAACAGAACCAAAAAGCAGAAATTACAAGTGAATTTAGTGCAAGTATTAAAATGTGCCTGATAACACATTCACTTATTACTTCTGCTGCCTGAACATTCTTCAGTACCACAAATATCCATTTAGGGAGTCTGTGTATTATGAAATCATTAACAGAAGAAACAAACAAACAAACAAAAATTATAGAAGATCCTAGTATTATGAAAGTAACATTAAGCTGCTGCATGAACACTCATTTGTGAGCACAGGACTACACCCAAAAGAGCAAGTCTTTTTGTACACTTTGAGGTGTCCTTGAATGACAGTTTCTCCTTACCTCAAGCACTCTTCCCGTGATATACTTTTCACAGTTGTCACATCTGATACCAAACTTTGCATGATAGTCCGTTTCGCAGTATGGAACACCATCCCTAGGGAAGAACAACAGGCCATACAGAACTTGCTTTATGTAGGCGTACAGTTCATCAGGAGATTACACATGTAAAATCTGTTAATGCTTCAACACTTCATAGGGTATTAATGGACTTTCCTGCCTACCAAATAGTCATTTATACTAATTTTGTAAAGAACTGAATAGTTAATAAACTATTTTGGCCCTTTAGAGTCTACCATGATCCTTTCCTGCTTGTTGCTGAATTCAGCCATTGCCTCCCTCCCTGTAATGATACTTGGTCTCTGAAACCCTCACACCATCTGTTCAATATTGTTACCCATTAATGTCTTCCACGTGTTTCCCCTTCTTTGGAAAAATTAGTTATTTCTACATATTATTCTTTCTCTCTTTACTTGCCATCTAATTCATCCAATATATGTATCATCTGATACATATATTATGTAATTCTTTAGCTGAGACTGAGCAGAGTAATTTCTCAACTGTCTTGTCTGTAAACCAAGTTTTGTTTAACATTTAAGTGTACTGACATTCTTGACTGGACTTGCTTAAAGACAGGCATGGATTAACCATCTCGGGAACCTGGTCCATAAGAGCCAACTATGACTACAAGAATTCAGCTGGAGCAGCAGAAGAGATGTAGCAGTGTGTTCACACATAATGTGACCAGCTACTTCAGCCCCACGAGTGAGTTAAGATAATGCACAACTTAAAAGATATGAAGAATAAAAACTGGAGTCAGCCTTTCTAAAATGTCAGAACCGGAACGCTTGGATTATTGCTCTGAAGAGAACCTGTTAAATTTTCATTTTATAATTTTACAAAGTTTTACATGTAGACAATTAAACTGATGAATGAAAACAAACTGCTCTAACAGAAACTGCAGACTCTTCTCCTGTTTCAAAGTGCAAGTTAAATATAGTTAAATATGTTTAGTTTGTTATGTTAAAACAGCCCATGATCAGACAGATTTATTAGCAGAGGCATAATTTTATCAGACATTTCCCTGGAGAAGCATAGAAATTAATTTTATAGCATACAAGTTGGATTGCTTAGAGACTAACTTATAAGTTACCACAATAATTAATTGAATTAATTGAAGCCAGGATGTTTCTTCTCATGAGTTATTTTGTTTGGCATTTAGCTTTTTTAAAAAGAGGATTTCACAATAACTATATCTTTACAATTTATGGAGGTTTCATTATTAAATAACAAGCCAAAAAAGGACTGTACCAAAATGCAGCAGACAACTTTTGAGTTGATGCAAAACCTTATTTAAGAACACCCTTTTCATAAATATTGTTTCTCCAGTGCAAGCTGTGAAATTAAATGTTATACTTGTATTAATCTAAATCCAAAGAATTGTTGAAAGTCAGTGGGACATGGGCTATGAAACTCCATCATCTCTGGGCACTGGTGATTGAGTTACTTTGTTGTTTAAGAAAATTTCAACATATCAACACACTTCTCTGAAGCAGAAATTAATGCCAGGTGCCTTGGCCAGTGAAAGCCCTGTATCTCACCAGCCTGATGAGAGTGTTGACATGGGACTTGGTCTGTGTGCGTGCTTTGTGCTGTTTCTCAGTGCTGTCATCACGTTCAGTCCAAATTTGACAGCACAAGGGTCTGGAGCAGCAGAAAAGCTTGGTATGTACATCCCTAATGAACTTCTGATGAACATTTCTGCTTATGTAAAACACATGGAAAGGACAGTATCTGCTTGTTCACATTACAGCATTGCCCAGAGCAAAGTCATAGATGACTAAGGGAGTATCTATGGGGCTTTGAAACATACTCCACCCACTGATTTTCTATAGCACAGATGCTTTGTCAACTACCATTCCAGGTAAATGGACAAATTTAAATTCTGCTTTTCTTTATTTCATTTTTTATGCTTTTAATACAATTTAGATAATAATTTAGACAACAGTCTCTAATCTCTTATATATCTCCAAATATACATAAATAAAAACTAAAGGATACAGAATGATAAACGAATTATTTGGCATTAAAAGAATGATGAAAACAGGTGAAAATGCTCCTCAACTTACTTGCTGATGTACTCTGCATTCAGTAGCTTGCCACACGTATTGCACTTAAAACAGCCCAAATGCCAATGTTTGTCCAAGGCAACCAAGGACTGCCCATTTTTTATTTCTGAACCACAACCCCCACAATCTGCAAGAGAAAAATGCAATATGAGTGATGCACTTTAAGTGGTCATACAACAGTGCTGGTTACTGCAGTACAAGGATCTGTCGGTGTCCTGGTAACAGCTCACGTGGGCTCTAACACTGCTCACTGACGGATGACAAGTGCTGCTGCCCTAATAATGCCCTCACACTGCTAGAAGACATGAATCATTCAAAGAAAAAAGCTGATGACTTAAGTTTCCTAGAGACTCGAGCTTTATTTTAATTAATTTATACCGTGTTTAAAGCGTGAAATGTTGATAATCAATTTTTCAAGCATTTATTGGGCAAATCAGCCTAATAAAATAAATTAAAAAATACCTAGATTAAAAAAAAAATTGATTTTTCATATTACACTTTGCCTACTGCTCTGCAAGCTTTACTTGTCATTCCAAAATTCTTTTAGCAAGCATTAAAAAATCCAAGCTGAAATTCTGATATGAAATTTCCTGTAAACAGGAAAAACACACCATTAGTTAAGAGGTATTACAAATTCCTGAGGAATAGTGACATTTTAATATGTAAAAGTGATGGCTGGCTACATATTTATTATTTAGAGAAATTCACTTATATAAGGCTCCTCAGAAAAAGTAATTGAGACCAAGATTTTTGGGGGGCTTGGTTGTCTTTTTTTGTAACAATGAATGCTTTTGACTGAACTAGTAAAATCCAAATCTACACTCAGTTTCCACACAAGCAGTCTACCAGTAAGTGTCCTGTTTAGAGATGTTAGGTAGACATAGGATTTGGATCTGGTTCTCTATCTATATCCTAAATCAACCCTCTAATAGCTTACAAGGTCCATCACTCATTTACTCTTCACTCTGCAGATTTCCTGTCTATGTATAGTTTTCTTACTAAATGTTAAAATAGTCAGAATATGCGAAAAAATAGGGATAAGTACCAGTGATAAACTGATTCTAGTATCAATATCTCAGTAATCCTTGTAATCCTCCAAAAGATAGCTTCCATTTTATGTGGAAAAAAAACCCAGTATTTTTAGAAACTTTTCAGGCATACCAAAAATTTGCTAGAGAAAAGACAAACCCCAAAAGACAATCATTTAGAGATGCCAGAAGAGAAAAAAAACCCAAAACACAACAATCTCTTGCATGGAGAGAAAGATACACAAAAGCATTAAAAAAGATTTATCTAGTTATTAAGAAAGAAATCCAAACCTAGGATGTCATTAAAACATTTGAATAGTCCTCTTAAAACCTTTCTGATTTAAGACTCTATTTAGTTGGTTACATGACCCTAATGAGACACTGTAAGTGCAATTGTAAATTTTTCACTTCTGAGCGCACAACAATAAAGGATAGTTCGTATTTTCCTTTAGTGGATTTGGAATGGATTAAGAGAGCAATAATGTGTCTAATGTTACCCTGTAGAGCACCAGTACGTGGAAACTAGCCTAGCACAAAAGCGTGTGCACCACAGATCAGAACATTTGAGTTTTGCTAATAAAAAAGAACATTTGGGTGTGTGCCTGGATTTAGCCCCTGCAGTATTCTGTAGTATCTATTGTTTAACTGCAATCAGAAATTTGTTTGTGATCTCTCCTGCACTGGGGATTCATCTGGTAATCTAATTTAATCTCACTGGTTGAGGGTTTATTTCATAAACTGAATAAAACACCATGTGCTCAGATGTCATTCGCCTTTCATCTGGTTTAAGCTTAGGTGGACAGAAATGTAGCCTTTTTGGAGCTACTTTTTTATTCCCAACTGCTGTTAAATTCCAGACAGTTACAAACAAATATTGTGGTTTCTATGCCAACAGTGCCTACTGATGCAATGTCCTTTTCTTTCCATCTTGGAAGCAGCATCCTTTGGTGACTCAACTAATTTCAACCAATAACTCTGCAGAACACATCAATTTGCTGCTACATGTTGATATTCTTTCCTGAATACTCTTTCAACATCAACACTGTCACAAGAGGTTTTCAGAGCTAGTGTTTTATAAAATGAAACAAACCAGGTAGGTAGGTACTTATATAATAATAAAAAAATCAAGGACTCAGGCAAAAAGCAAGTATCTCACATTCTTCATCTCTTCCAAATGGAACGCATAAAAGAGGTCAGAACCAAAATGGGAGGATGAAAATAGAAGGATGGTCAGAGGGGGCAGAGATGCTGGGATCTCAGTGAGTCCCAAGAGATGTCCTGAAAGCATTACCGAGATAAATAGGCTGATGAACAGCACACATGGTACGTATCAGGAAGTTCTGACACAGGAACAAAATCAGTGTAATGGTGGGTCAACGTACTAATTGTTCCTTGAATAAGTTTGCTTAAAAGTCATATGTTTTTATGCACTATTAAAAAGAATTGTTTTAAAGGTCTTTTGCAAGAAAGCTGTTGTTAAAACAAGGAGATACACCATTCACTGCTTTATGTAATATGTAGCATAGCTACAGCCAGCCATCCCAGACTTTTAGTTCTCCAGTTCAACGAGGGTGTCTCTGATAGTGCTTGTTTATTCCTGAAATACTGGTTCTAGCCTAAGGATTAAGTGCTTGGAAAACAAGTGGTATTACATATTGCTCTTTCACATATTATATATTAATCTCATTGTTGCCAAATTCTTTATCATCTTTTTAGATATTTCACTAACTTTCTGTGTATTGTCACTTGGAAAGATTTCATCCATTTCTAGTGAGATTTAAAGCAGACATGTATTTGAGGTTTAAATAAATATGTTTGAGCTTTAATTCGAGGAAAGGCTAAACCTTCCTTTTCCAAGGTCAGGTTTTGCTACAAACATATGCTTCCAGTGCTGTTTCCTTCAGAGGCAAGTAGTTTGCTGAGGTTTGCAGGTACCAGTGTGCTGGGGAGACTCGGTGCAGTGACCTGAGAGAGCTGGGGAAGTGCAGTGTAAGAAAAACTCTCCGTGGTGTGTGTATGAGTACAGAGAAAGGGAATGTAAATACATTAAAGGACTCTGTATCACAGATAATCAAATGAACTTGTTCTGACAGTTACTCAACCAGGCAAATAGTGTTCATTAAAGTCAAAGGCACTTTTCCCATAGGACAAGGAGACAAACAGATGATGGGCCATTAAAGTATGGATTTGCAAGTGCGGTCAGCAATGATGGCTAAGGATGATCCACCTCTTGATTAGGTGAGTAGAGAAAGCAGCTAACAGAGGGAGTGATCCCCTCCCCAAAAGAGAATGGCATTAGCAAGAGAAAATCAGCAGAACATCTCTCACTGCATCCACACAGCAGCTTTTGCTGAGAAGATGTAGAGAGGAGATGGTGAAAACTTCTGAAGTGAAATGTGGGGGGAAAAAAGAAAACAGAATAAAAAGGGAGAGATTTCTTCCAGAAGTGGGCTGGATTCCTTATAGGAAGATGAGCAATCCATGGGGTCCTTCCTCAGCCATGCTGAATCCAGCTTGATGTGATAATCAATAAAAATATTTCTGTCTTTGTTGTTTAATTGAATTGCTGCTGCTGTTTAATTACATAAAAGTGGTGGGTTCTTAGAGCACGGCAGCACTTCATGAGCTAAACAGCAAAGAAACAGAGTTCAAAGCAACACCACCACTTTATTGATCTAGTGCAAAAAAAAAGCTGGTGTGAAAAGACCACATTTCTTTGTAGTGTTTGTATCTTCTGCTAGTACACAATAGTACTAAGGTCAAGGTGAATGTCCCCTGGTCACATTTCATACATTTAAATCCTTCCTATGTACTAACTAGCCATGCAGTCCTGTCACTGTATTTTCTGGAACACGTAAAAATTATTAAATATCACATTAGATTTTATTTTAGCCAGACTTGGACTAAATCCTCAAAAATATTAACATCCATATTATTTTTTTCTCCGAATAATTTGATTTAGTTCAGTTCTAACCAAATTTTTTGAGAGAGTCTGTGTATTGTAAATCCTGTAATGACACCATCTGTGTTTCTTTTTTATATCAGACTTTCTCGGAAAACCACCATACACTTTTTCACTGTATTTCATGACACCTCTTGCGCAGCATAGTGGTAGAAGTTCCAGCTACACAAATTGGTTTAAAATTCTGTTCCTTAAACCTGTGCAGACTATGAAGTACAGACTGAAAACAGCAGAAATCTCTACTTACTCCGCAGGTTCTGTACAGGGAAAGAGCCAGTGCTGCTGGAAGGGGGCAGGGAACATTTCTGGCAGATGCACTCCTTCCCGTTAAAAGTTACCCGGTCGCCTGCAGGGAAAGGCAACCTACAACAGTGCAAACAAAAGGAAACCAGTTACAGTCTCATGCCTTTATCAAAATTAAATATCTTTCCATTAAAGAACTGATTATTGCTCTGGCTTCTTTTTCTCTGCTTGCTCACTTCTTGTTCATGGTTTTCCAGCCATATGGAGGCTAAAGTATCAAAGGGACATATCAAACAGACAATCGCAAATTCAGATTCTACAGCTTCTTAGGGAAAAAAAAAATAAATCTCTACAGATACAAAAACACAATGAGCACTCAAGACCAAATCCTTGTATATCTAAGAAACATAGTATCGGCCAGGGTTGATTGCTAACAGGATCAGTTACAGAATGAAAATAAAATTGGCATTACAAGGAGTAAGTACAGGCAAATGTGGCTGCTCTTATGTTGTTAAAATGCTACACGAGAGTGATGACTTTTATACATTAAAAAACCAGCACTTCTCCTCCCAACTTTTACCATATCAAGGTCTGAAAGCAAATGCTGGTGGAACATTCAAAGGAGAAAACGTATGCTAGTTATAAAACCCACAGTGTCTACATTACTTGTTTGCTCTACTCAACAACAGCTCTCCTTACACTTAATTAAATCCTTCCTTTTTATCAATGTCCTTAAAACAAAAAGCTTTCTGCTGCGTGCTTACTTGTTTGGGTACAGAAACTGCTGAGGTTTTTTCTCTAAGGGGACCAGATGGACAAATCACTTCATATGCAGCAAAGGATGGTGAGGATTTAGAAACACATTTCACTCCACCCAAAGCTCATGTCCAACTAAATCCCAAGCAAGCTATCAAAATATGGCTTAAGTGGGGCACAAACATAACACAGACCTTCTGCCTCATGGTGAGTTCCATCTGATCAGATTATTTCATTAGCATTTCATTAAAACTCTGCATGGCATTTCCCCACAAATGCTATCAAATTCATACCAATTGAGAGGTTGTCTCACTACAAGAGCTGTACAGATACTTCTTCCTAAACTTAAACATTATTTTGCTCCCTAAACCACCTAAGAGTGGCTTATTCTACATTTGAATTGCATTTAAAAGAAATTTATTATGAAGATAGAGAACAAAAGCAATGCTGTCCTTTCTTTCTATATGTTACTGAAATCTATTTGAAATCAGCTAAATAAGTGTTCAGCTCTGCCATTCATTTTGGACCATTGGAAATAATTCAAAAATCATGAGGACACATGGAGTTTAAATATTATTATATTTTTGGATATCTGATAATGATTCTGATTTTCACCTTTTCTTTTCCCTGTGCTAATGACTTTATACTCCAAATACTTGCAACCTCCTCACTTACCTAAAGGTAAGGAAAAATATTTTATGGAAATAGACTTTAAAATTGTTTTGATCTTTGACACAACTAAATGCTCCATGATTCTGGCATAAACAGCCCCAACGCCATGCTAGGTGTCCTAAATTTCCATCAATTTAGGAGAGGATTTTCTACCATGAATTTTAGTCAATAACCTAATCAGAAGACAACACTGTCTCTAGTGTGACAGACAGGATGTGATGGAGCCACACTCTAGTGAGCAAGTCTTTCCTGTCTTGCAGCAATCCAGCAGCAGCAAGCTCATGTCTTATGTAAAGAAAAAAATAATTATTTTTAGTCATAACTGTTTGTAACAGATTTTTATATTTCTTTAAGTCAGAGAAACTTCTAATACGTGGAATAATAAAAGGTTTTCATGAACATCACAACAAAGTTGAGTTTGGAAAGGACCTCTGGAGCTCATCTGGTCCAATCCAGAATTTATTCAAATGAATGTACATACATTTGAATAAAAATTAGTAAATGTGATATAATTCCATACAGATAATACAAATTAATGACTAATTACCAAAAACTGTCTCAAAAATGGAGTAATATAATTAAAATGCTGTCCTAGTTTTCTACTGCCAATGTGAAAGAAACCATTTAATCATGTTTTCATTGTAACAAAATATTACAGAATCAAGTCTACAACTTAGCACTATTAATTGACATGGAAAGACACAAGACGAGGCATGTCAACTGTTCCAGAACTGAGACAAGAACTTGTAATTGATCTCCTACGTGTTTTCAAGAAGACATCTCACCTTGATTTACAGATAGACATAGAGTTATTAGAAACACTGATAATCCACTCCAGATTAAACCCCCACAAAAGCAGTAACCTGCTCCACTGATACAATCACACTACACTCACTGCCACACAAGTACTCTGGCATCTTTCATTCTTATGCACAATTGCATGCCCTGGGTAGGATATTACCTTCAACAGTGTTTTGCCAAAGTCTGTATGGACACCAAGACTGGGACTCAGCTAATGACCCAACCAGGCTCTCATGAGATGTCTCAGTAAAACAGAAGGCTTTGCACCATTAATAATCCTGGGGATGGTGATGTACTGGGAGCTGTGAGCAATTCACTGCTCTAAAGAATGACCATGACTACTGAGCAGTCTTGTATCTGGTATATTAAGAGCAGTAGTCAGAGGTGAGGTTAATATATCTTATTGACTCAGTGATATGCCTAATAAAGATCCAGCTGAACTTCCAGCTGAACAGAGAAGCCCATCTTAAACAGATGCACCAAGCAGCAAGTAAACTAGAAGCAGGGACTGACCACTTAGAACTGGCTCATCTACATTAAGCAACTAGACAATCTAAAAAGAAATAAGTTAAAACCAGAAGAGAAGAATATGATAACTGACCTCCTACGGCACAAAGACAGAACCAGGTAGATGACACCTACAAACACACCAAAGCTCACAGGCACCACAGCATGTCACAGAGTTTCCTCAGAGGGCAGGGCATGTGGGGGCTTTCCTAGCCCATAAACACATCATACTTGGTATATTTTCTAAGAGTTTAGTAGCTAATCACAGTGCCCTTCCATTCCAATGGGACAGGGCAATAATTTCAATTCTTTATTGTTTTCCAAATCTGCAAGATACCTTGTATGGGAAACCAAACATGTTCAACCTAGAAAACCCCCAAAAAATCTTCCTTGGAAAGGAAGGTACAATCAAAGGTACAGACAGACATATCCTTCCCTCACAGGTCTTCCAAACCCATAAATAAGTCTCAGAGTTTGCTTCACTGTCTTGTTCACTGGGAATCCAGAATTCATACCCAACACATTTGTCAGTATTTCTGTAACAGCTGACCTCTCCCTTTCACAAGCAGCTCTGCTTGAGAATTTCAGCGCCAATAGGAGTGAAGGCACAACAGAAGGTGGTATCAGTCAATTAACAAGGTTTCAGTTTCTGAGCTCTTTAACTTGTGAGCAGGACTATATATAGAATTTTAGGGTAAGAGCAGTGTATCTGCCTTCAAATGCAAAGATATCTCACCACCAGTCACCCACTGAACATTGCTAGGTATTGCTGAAACCAGGACAGGGTTTTAATTAGCTACTTAATAAATATTCAGTGAGATTTTCACAGTTGGATAATCTATTTTTAAAATGAGAATTAAGAGCATCTTTAAAGCAGCTCTCTGAAATGGCTTGTAGAATTTTAACACATCTATGATTCATTTCCCAATGAATTTTGTTTTAGCAATCTGCCTACAATATTTGTAAACCCAGAAAAAAATTGGAGGTCATAAAAAAAATTATATTGTAAAACATCAAATCATCATCAGCCTAATCCAGGGTTAACTGTGTGCTGACAGTCAGGTCCTTGCCTTGTCCCTTTTTGCACCATGCCTCAATCTATGCAGCTGTGGGCAAGTCATTTCAAGATTTCTGGGACAAAAGAAAATATTAAGTTTTATTCAGAGCAGATAGATGGCCTTCTATTCTTTATACTGCCAGTCTGACTCTGTGGCTGAACAGTCAACTAAATTTGATATACAAAAATTAACAGAAGCATATACTGTCAGGGCTGTGGGGAGAGCAAAGCTATTAATTTCAGTAGCTGACTGCAGTTACACTAGGTCAGGTGTAATGTCAGACTGCAACCTAAGGAACTAAGGATCAAATTCTGCTCTAACTTGTACCTGGTACAATCACATCCCTCAAGGTTGCTCCATAGGGACAAATTCGACCCAGGGGGTTAAAACTGATAATACAAAGTAGATATTATGTGCTATCTACTGTCCACATGAATTTTACCCAGGGCAAATGCTAAGTCCTCAAACCAGGGAAGAACAACCCCATACACCAGTACACCACAGGGGTTAATCAGCTGAAAAGCATAAAAAGATGTAGTGGTCCTGGTGGACACCATGTTGGATATGAGCCTGCTGAGTGTCCCTGCAGCAAAGAAGGCCAACCAAATCCTGGGATGCATTAGTGTAGTCAGCAGGTCTATCCATGAGATCTTCCCTTCTGTTCCTTATTTAAGAGACTGCAGTGGGTACCATCTTAGGTTCCTCAGGACAAGATTTACTGGGGGGAGATGAGGGAAGGTGTCCAGGTCCAGAGCTGCAGCACGGGATACATGGACAAAGGCTGCAGGAGATGTACCTGTGTAGCCTTAAAATGCTCAGGGGAGATCTTATTGCTGTCTAAAACTACCTGATGTGTGCATATGGAATTGGAGCCATGCTCTTCTCAAAGGTACAGAGCGAAAGGATAAGAGGCAGCAGATGTAAGCTGGAACATGGGAAATGACAACTCAATATAAGGAAAAAAAATTGAGCTTGTTCAATGCTGGAACACACTGTTCAGAGTCTGTTGGATCTCCATCATCAGAAACATATTAAATGAATGCCATCAGCAGCCTGCTCAAACTGGATTTGCTTTAAGCCAGGGGCTGGACCACAGGAGCCTCACAGATCCCTCCCATCTGACATGACTCTAGGGCTATAGGTATGCTCCATACAGAATCATAGAATCCTGGAATCATTAAGGTTGGAAAAGACCTCCAAGATCATCAAGTCCCATCTTTGACCGAATACCAGCATGCCCACTAAACAACATCATGTAGTGTCATGTTTACTTGGTTTTTGAACGCTTCCAGGGATGGTGACTCCACCACTTCCCTGGGCAGCCTG